CATTCCAGCACATAGCTATGTCTCCTGTTATGCTGCAATCTCATCTTACAGATCAGTGCTGCTGAGGCACACTTCTTCAGTACTTGAATTGAATTTGTTAAGGTTTCCTTGTGGTATTTCTTACCATTGCCCCTTTTTGGTGTATATGTGGTTTCAAGTACAGATGACGTACTGGAAGTTTGTGTGCTTAGAAGTATAGAATTTAATTTTGAACCACTCTGCAGCAAAATGCATAATTTATTGATGAAGACTGAAGGATATCTAGAACAAAAGAAACTGGCTTTCTCAGAAAAAGTAATTTTGGCTTTTCTACATAAGAGAACTTAAGGAGATATTCCTGAAGATTTTGTTGTGCTTTATTAACAGACCTGAGGTAATTTCCTGTTTCATAGTTCCAGAGCATAATTAGCAACATAGCCCTGTCTAGTACAGAATTAACTGAGGTATCCGTGAGTTATGTAACAGAGCAGGCCCCTTTTGTACAGTGCAAACAACAGCTTTTGAAATCATGCTTTGCATGGTTAAATATTCATTCTTTGAATGCTGTTTTGACTTTTCACAGGAGATCTGAATGAGCTAGCAGAAGTAATTCATCATCATATCCCAGAAGCAAAATTAATTGAAAACATTGGTCAGGAACTCATTTACCTTTTACCCAATAAACACTTTAAACAGCGATCTTACGCCAGTCTCTTCAGAGAACTGGAGGAAACACTGGATGACCTAGGACTCAGCAGTTTTGGAGTTTCAGACACCCCACTTGAAGAGGTAACAGACAGATTAAAATATCCACTGATCTTACCATCAGTCCCCAGAATGTTTTCTGAGACAGTTCCTGTTCTTAAACATGTAATCTTACTAATTCACAATATCCCCTTCAAAACCTAGTCCCATATGCTGTGGCACACTCAGAAAGTCTTTGGGATAGGCATAGAGAAAGGATTTAAGCCTTACTTCATGTAAGCCTTGTGCAGCATGACTCATTAGCCTGAAATCTTTCTTTGTACCTTAGTTTGTTCCTTTCTTTATTTTGTGAGATATTTCATAAGGGACCTCTGACTGTCTAATAAGCAGGAGTACAGAAAAGGTGTCTCAATTTTTTTCTGTTACATTATAGAATGATGCATAGTGTTCCAGAGGTCAGGTTATTGCACTTGTTCTGTTCCTAACTGGGAGATTTATTTGTCCATGGCAGGTTTTCCTAAAGGTCACAGCAGAAGCTGACCCTGGAATGCAAGAAGCAGGTATATATCCATGAATCAATATTTGATGAACTTTCCTTGGGGCTGTTTTGTATTCTGAACACCAAGTAAGGAAGAGCCTCAAACCTTTCAGTCTCTGTATGGTGTTCTTGCCAAAATAAATTCGGTCAGCAAATATATGGTTTTAGGGCCTGACGTGATATCTGACAAACAAGGCGAAGTCAGCAGAAAGAATTCTGTTTAGATTGGATGAGGTTCTTAACTATGTAAATAAGAATGGAGTGTCAAGCCCCAGATGTCAATGATTTTCGTAGTTCTATAAAAAGTACTTTGCTGACCATTAGTCCATAAACTGCATACATGATTAACTTGTTAATCCTGCTGAGTAAGAGGAGTGTTGACCTCTGTGATGCCACTAGATACAGCCACAGTGCAACAGTTGTAATTAAAGCAATCTGGTGATGTGATATATACAGTTGGTAAGATCTCAAGCTCACTAAAATGTTTGTGCTACCTTCCTATGTGGAGGATAAAGTGTCTTCTCTGCCTCTTTTTATGTTAACCTAGGAGACCCTCAAGAAAATGGTTCTACTCTTGGCAAACCTTCTGCTGAGAACAAACCAGCTGAACAAACCACACTGAAAACTAACGACACTTCTCGAATGCCAGTAGGCACAGCAGGAGATCAAAGTGAAGGCAAGGGGTCCAGACAGTATAAAGGTTTTCAGCTTGTACAGCAGCAGATCAAAGCACTGCTCATCAAACGGTTCCACCATGCCTCCCGCAGCCACAAGGACTTCCTAGCTCAGGTATTGGCTTACTTTTGCTGTTCTTGACTCTTTCTCACAACATTCTCAATGCTGCCTTTCCCAGCAGTGTCTCTATGCAAAGCAACAGAGGTGCTGCGGATGGGTAACAGTGTCCCTAACTGTTCTAACTGTAATTCCAGCTCTTCTGCCTCTTACTCTATTTCTTTCGGCGTAGAGTCTATCACCTGCAGCAAGTTCATGATTCAGTCACTACTAGCCCAGCATGTTATTTTTAACAGAACACAGTTCCATGACAACCACAATCTTAACTGAAAGCACTGGAAATTAAATTGTAGGTGTTCAGGAGTTAAACCAGATCTGATCTGTGTGCTCCTGCTGTCCCTCCCTTGTTTCTGTATATACATAGCATATATATATATATATATATATGGTGTGTACAGTGTCATTCTACAATATATATCTAATAACCTAGTGTGATGTTTTCATGTTCCCTGCAGGTTGTTCTCCCTTCTAGTTTTGTGTTGCTGTCTTTGATACTTACAGTCATTATTCCTCCATTTGGAGAATATCCCGCCTTAACTTTACACCCTTGGATCTACGGACAACAGTTTACTTTCTTCAGGTAAAAGGAATCACCAAGTAAAAGTACATCTGTCATTTATATACACCCTTTTCTCCCTAGTGTTAGGATAATTTTGAAGCATTTTTCTTGAGTTCCATACTGAAGATTCACATGAAACTTTTTTACACATGGTAGTGTATGGAGCAGCGTTTGATATTGATAATTGTATAACACTTGGCACTAGCAACAGTCTGTAGTCTAATGTTATTACGTTGTTAGTTGCAGACACTTCACTATTAGCAGCATTTTCTCTTTGGCCTTAGCAAATGAAATGTAGAATATGTCTTTTGTCTTTTGATTACTGAGTGCGATAGGGCTGAGAGGGGATTCAAGCCTTTTTGGAGAATATTGCTAGAGGACTATGTCAGAAGTCGTGCTTTAATATCAGGAGAAAGGGATCATTGTTTTAGCCTGTTAATCATCTTGTAAGGTTCTGGGATAAATACATAACTGAATTATAAGCATTTGGAGGAAGGCAGTTGGTTCTGCCATATGGCTGCCCTTCTCCAGTTGCTATGTGTATTCCAGTACAATAGTTTGAAAAACACTTTTATAGATAAAGTCCTATGTTATTCCCTTAGCAATGAGCGTCCTGGCAGCGAGCAGATGATCTCCCTTACTGATGCTTTCCTGAATAAACCAGGATTTGGAAATCGCTGCATGAAGAATCAGCCTCTTCTGTAAGTTGCTAGCTAATCTCTTTTGAATGAAATTCAAGTATCACTAGTGGAACTCGAGTAGTGAAACAAGAATGAATTGGCTTGGTTTTTCACTAGACCCAATGCTTCAGTTATATTATTGGCAATAATATCTAATAGTGGTTCAAAAGTAACAAACAAACATGAGGACAACAGTGCTACTGGATTAAGAATGATTCACAGTGTTCAACATGACTAGCTGGAAGCCAGCTCATGTAGTCTTGTATTGAGAATTAAGCAACCTTGAAATATATGTCAGTAGGCCAGTGGGCTCAGACCCAACTCTTCACAGCTTCCCTGGCATTTTCCACGTGTGAGTTCCCTCAGGTTCCTCCTGTTCCCACTGGTGTGTTTGGAAGCAATAGCTTCGGCAATTGCTCAGATTGTGAAGTAGCAATAGGATATTCTCTATGATTTGAAGCTATTCTCACTCTGGAGGACAACATTGGTAGAGCTCCTACCCACTTGCACTGCCTGTGAATCCTGTTTGGAGGCATTTGTCACTGGCGTACTATACTTTGCCATTTGTTCCCTTTCTAGTGCCCCTCTCCCAGGTCTTCAGCAACTTGATTCTTCTGGCTGTTCTCTCTTCTCTGTTCCTCTCCCCCCTGCTGTCTTCTCCTCTCTGTTCCTCTCCCCCTTTCTCTCCTCTCCTCCCTCTCCCCCTTTCTCTCCTCTCCTCCCTCTCCCCCTTTCTCTCCTCTCCTCCCTCTCCCCCTTTCTCTCCTCTCCTCCCTCTCCCCCTTTCTCTCCTCTCCCCCTTCCTCTCTTCTGCACAGTACACAGGAACAAAGAGGAAAGTTTAAAAACTAGAGAAAAGACACTGCATGAGCAAGGAAAAGGATAGTTTCTTCACAAAGATACGTGTCCACTGCAGATTTCCTGTGGGTCAGACACAGCCTCCTTGTTCCTTCAGTGTCCTGTCTGCGAACTGAAGACACAGAGATGTGGGAAGAGATTATATTTATTCATGTTTACTAAAATGTTCTTATTATTCATAACTCACAGTATAAGGGCAGAGAGGAGAATAGCTGCTGAGAGCATGATGATTTTGTGGATTTGTGAGCTCTTGAACTCTACCTCTGCGCAGCTTAAAGAGTCTGTTCCTCTACACAGGAACTACCCGTGCAATAATATGCCAACTCCCTGGACCACACCTGCTGTTCATCCTAACCTGAGCAGCCTTTTGCAGAGCCAAAAGTGGAGCCCTGAGAATCCTTCACCTTCCTGCCAGTGCAGCACTCACAAGAAACTCACTATGCTGCCAGAATGCCCTGCAGGCGCAGGAGGCCTTCCACCACCACAGGTAGTGTCCCTGTGCCATAAATCTTAGCAGAAAATATCTGTAGAATTCCTGTCTATGAAGAAAAAAAGAAAAGGGAGAAATTAATAAAGAGGCTATATGCTGACTTTATTCACAGCATCCCGAATTATTTCTGACTGTTCAACGGACAGCCAAAGTTGGGTTTTGTAAATTGCAGGCTAGTGTATTCAAGAGAGTAATGTAGGATGCAAAATTACTTTTTGTTTGTGGGGATTCTAGTCCTCTAGTGGAAATGTATTTATTTTAGTATTATCCTCACAGATTTGCAGGATATGATACGATAATTTCATATAACTTGTCGGGAAGAAACAGTTCACATTTGAGTCTCCAGGGAAGCAACAGTATGTATGGAAATGTATTTATTTTAGTATTATCCTTACAAATTTGCAGGATATGATATGATAATTTCATATAACTTGTCAGGAAGAAACAGTTTACATTTGAGTCTCCAGGGAAGCAACAGTATGTAGATGAAGTATGGCTGAGCAGAGACAGCTTATTTAATGAAGGCACCATGAGGATGCTACCAGTCTTCCCAAGTGTTGTCTGGAATCAGCTAGACATTTGTAATGTATCTTCTGTGTCATCTGGTACTGCCTCTCTGTGGACAAATGCAGGAACTTCTGGAAAGCTCATTAGACTTATTTTCTGGGTCATTACTAGGTAGTTTCAGGCTGGAAGCTTTGCCATCTGAAACTGCCTAGGAACCTTTTAAAGTATTATTCTGCCTTGGGATAAACTCAGCAAGTTTGCGGACTTGCATTTCACTGCAACCCCATATTTGCAAAAGACTCACAAAGGCATCATGTGCTATCATTTTAAATACAAAAAGAAGAGAGTAATTTTTGTTCAAAGTATCCAATGTGCTAGTGAAGGTGAAGTTCTTGTATTAATTTTTTCTTCAACTTACTAAATCATATAAAACTACCTTTTCTTCACCAAGACCTCAATTCATTTGAAAAGCTTCCTTCTTTCATAGTGAAGAAAAAGCCTTGAGCAACCCTGGCCTTTGTTGCAAATAACTCAGGTCAAGTTTCAGAGTGAAGTGCAACTGTTTTTTGTCAGGCATCGTCAACTTCTGTGATTTCTTGATTTCTTCTGAAATCTTAGTAAAGTAAGGATGTTTAGGCTAGAAAACGAATGGCACGCTCTCGTTTCAGTGATACTATGGACCTGATACTATGAACCTGAGCAATTCCTCTGAATCAAAGCTACTTTTGCTGTGTTCCTGATAAACAGTTCTAGAGACTGTAAAGTTTGCTGTGGTTTTCTTTTCTTTCCAGAGAGTGCAGCACAGCACAGAAATTCTTCAAGATCTGACCCACAGAAATATTTCAGATTTTCTGGTGAAAACATATCCCACTTTGATAAAAGGAAGGTAGGGGTGAATCTCTGTTTTTCACATGGTATTTTGTACCTGGCCAATAAATCCTCATGTAATGATAACATAGCACCTGATGTGCCACAGTATTGCATAGACTTGAGTATCATGTCTATATTCCTGATGTAAGAACAAGAGATGATAATTTTAGAGGAGTAAAATTATTTTAATTATACTTACTTGTATAACTGGGTACTCCTTTATAGGCAGAGCTAAGTTTCAATGTTGATCGAATGCCATGTTAATGGTAACTGTGTCAATGGTGAGAAAACTGGTGCCTCTGCACAGCGTAGTGAACTGCCTTGCAGAGATACCAGTTTGTGTCCCTGAAGAACTGTAGTCACACCAGCATGACCATCTCCCTGGATTAATTATCACGTGCTTCTCAGAAGTGCTAAAGAGCCAAGGGACAATGTTACATAGGTACATCTATCCTACTGATAGCTCCTCAGCTTGCAGAGGTGTCGTGCATGGTAATTAGCTGTGGAGTGTCTATGGCCTGTTATTGCTGATTCAGGCCTTGCTATCTTTTCAATTCCCAGCAGAGTTGTTAAAATTCTGATTATATTAGCTATGTACTGTCTGCCTTTAACTGATTCCTCTCAGCACATGTCATAATTGCTTTAGATGCATCTTTTAAATTCAATTAATTATGGATTTCGGATAGAGCCAGTATGTGTCACTTAGAAATCTTGCTTCTCTCTGTATTAGCTGGAAATTAATCATGTCAGAAAAGAAAACAAAAAACCAGAAACCCACTGCAGGGAATACCAAAAGCCCTGACAACCCCAAAACAAAAAAGAAAGCCAGTAAAATTAAAAAAATAGCTGTATAGGGGAAAGTGGAGATTTGATAAGCATAGGAATTCACCTTTAATTTCCATTTAAGCCTGACAGTACCATTGACTTTGGTTGAGTGCATTAAGAGACAAGATTCTCTTTGTCTGTTTCAGCTTGAAGAGCAAATACTGGGTCAATGAGCAAAGGTAAGAAACCAATTCACAGATTATGGTGGTAAATAAAGGAACAATGAATTTCTGTTTAACTGCAGGGGCTCACAGTGTTTCTCTGGATGGACAGGGGGAATTGTGGCAGATAGTATGGAACAAATAGATGGTTTCAGTGGGAAATAGGTTGGGGGTCATTAAGGGTTTTATAAAGACAAGGGGTGATTTGTTTGGACTACCCCTACAAGGATGAAGGCCAGGGGCACACAATGGAATTATCACAGCTTTATTATCTACAAGAGTCAGAGTAATGGGATTCGAGTGATGAAAAGTTACAATTCAATAATACTGTACTACATTGTGACAGTGCTCTGACACAGCTCTTTCAAAGTGCAACAGAAAAATATGAAACCTCTGAAAAAAGGGCTTGGGTAAGAGGAAACCTAGAAACCAGCCTATCAAAAACAGAAGTAACAACCACAACTCGTCATCCCCACTCTGAACACGTGCAATAGTTACTGAACAGATTCCAGTAGTGCTCTGCACTTACGTAGAGGCATCAGCTAACCCTACTGTGATGTCTACACCGCAGATAGTGAGCTTAGAAAGATGACTGATTAGCCTGAAGTACGTACTTATGTAGCTTTTCATCAGCAGTAGGAATTCACTTCAAAGGTAGCAGCAGAAGACTGGCTTCCTTCATGGAATATCTGCTTGTTCCTGTGCAAACATTACTTTCTATGGGATTAGACTTTGGTTCATCTTGTACAATAGTATTTATCATTACGGAGTATTGGCTGGCACCAGCACTGGTGAATACCTGCTTTTCTCAGGGCAATGGAAATTTTAACTGAGGTCCATGCTGTCCTCAGTCTTCCATGCTGTCCAAACAGTTACCTGTCAGTTATCTTGATTTAAAGATTTTGCACTGTAGAAGTAACTGTTTACTCCAAATCTTCTAACTAAACAATAATTTTCTCAGGATCCTGGCATGAACCCCTCAGAAACTGATAGAACTTCTATTATTTGTAAGCCCTATAAAGACCTAATACAATTTGTTAGAAAAAGAGTGGAGATTGCTATGCATTAATTATATGATATATAGAAATCAAAGTATACATTACATTAAGGATATTTTTAGTATTTCCATCAATGTACAGAGTTTTGGGTCTGTGGTACAAATGACTGATTATACTGTTCTCTTTGTTAGATATGGAGGAATTTCTATAGGAGGAAGGCTCCCAGTCCTTCATGTTTCTGGAGATCAAGTTGTCGATTTTCTAAGCGATCTTGGCCGAATGATGAATGTGACAGGAGTAAGCAAGATTTTAATGGCTTTTTTACTAAAGAATTGTTACAAAGCTGACAATGTGCAGTACCAGATTTCACCCAGACAGCTGATCTTTAGCCTTTTCTTTTTTATTTTAGGGACAAACTTCACTGGCTGCTGCTAAAGAAATGTCAAATTTCCTTAAATACATGGAAACTGAAGATAATATTAAGGTATTTGCTGGAAGCAGTCTGCTAACTCGCAGCCTTTCTTGACATAGACTTCAAATTGTTAGAACATTGCTAGTGGCATTCTTAGATGCAAGAAGGGCTGAAATACTTTTCTTATAATAAATAACATGGGATATAGTGTTAATGCAGTTATTTCTAATGTGAGACTTTTAAAACCATGTTCTTAGTACTTCTTGCTGTCCTAAAGACTTCAGAGTAGGACACATTCCACTAAATGTTAAAATTTCTTTCTATGAAATCCCTTGACAGGGGTTGTCCAATCCTTTTCAAAGCATAGTATGTGAGCTCCTCCTGCTGGACTGTGCCTAGGAGCTATGAATTCCTGGTGCTGGATTGCTTCCCTGCTGACAATGCCCACCAAAGTAGATAAAAGGCAGTCAAGTTTTCTCCTGCAGCTGAGGGTTATTAGTGAAGGCTTCTTAAATGAATCTGTCCTTTCTGACTCTTTTAGGTGTGGTTTAACAATAAAGGCTGGCATGCAATGGTTAGTTTCCTTAATGTAGCCAATAATGCAATCCTTAGAGCTAACTTGCGGACTGGCCAAGCCCCTGAGGAATATGGGATCATTGCTGTAAATCATCCTCTGAATCTCACTAAGGAGCAACTCTCTGAAGTCACTGTGTAAGTCTGCCTGTGTTCTGCTTCTGGCTTTTATCCCTCCCTTTCCTGGCAGCTTACCACCTCCTGTGTACTCACACTCTGAGGAGAAACAGTTCAATTGACAGAATGTGGAAGCCTTTCCCTGAAGTCTTATTCTAATCAAGAATTAAGTATATAATCTATTCTTTTCTGTCTCTTTATATTCCTATAAGAGTTAATTCCATCCCATGTAAGAGCTATGACTATTGGTTATACATGATTACATGTTTCTGTTGATTCCCAAGCACAAAGATTCTGAAGTCTTTGTTTGTGTTCCGAAGTCAATAGATCTACTTGTGAAATAACGCGGAGATCATAATCACAAAAGGAATCAGAAATTGTCCCTAATTGACTACAGGTAGGCAGTAGTCAAGAACCTCCATCTTGGTGCCAAGGATAGCACACAGATAGATTTTCAGTGGCATGTAGTAGGGTTGATGTATTCCAGAATCAAAAAGACATTATTTCTTAAAAGAGACACCCCTAAGACATGACTTCCCACTCATGTTTCCTATTAAGTTCAGAAGTCAGTGAAACCAAAAGCTTCTGCCTCAGCACAGAGGCAAGCAAGATCTGCACTTCATCTCCTTCTCTGCAACCTACCTCTAAGCCCCTCTTTTCCCAGCTCCCTGAGCACTTCAACTATTATGCCTTAATGTATAATTTGAGATACACCATCCAGGAAAAACTGTCAAACTGAAGATATAGATGTACGAGCTGAACTGTTCCAGAGAATTAAGGCAAGTAAAAAATTAGGGAATGGTGCCACCGGCATTCGTGTTTGTTAGCTACAGTCCCCAGCACAACTTGGGAAAATAGACTAGCACATTTTGAAATTGGAAAAGCCTTCTACTTACAAAATAACCTTGCTGCTCCTAGGTCTTAAAAGTCTCCCCAGATTCTCCAAATGCTAATACTGTGTTGTGTTGCGTTCATTCCCTTGCTCAAAGTCCCTTTTTGTGCTCTGTTTCAGGCTGACCACTTCAGTGGATGCTCTTGTTGCCATCTGTGTGATTTTTGCCATGTCCTTTATACCAGCTAGTTTTGTTTTATACCTGATTCAAGAACGTGTAACAAAAGCCAAGCATCTACAGTTTGTCAGTGGTGTGAGCCCTGCAGTCTACTGGCTAACTAACTTCATGTGGGACATTGTGAGTATCTGCTGATCTGACTTCATAGCCTGCAATTATTCCTGGGTTTGCATGAACTGGGGACTAATCTGTGAATTGAGAGAAGATGATTCTGAGCATTGTAAAGCATTCATTTGGTTAAGTGTTTCTTAGACAGCATGCTAAGCATCTGACCTCCTAACTAATTACAGATGTAGAAATTAAGTCAGATACACAGCTCATTATTCAACTAATGAAGCTGAAATTGTTGTGATCTGAGGGTTTCCAGTCCTTACAACTGAATGTATAATAAAGTACAACTTAACATAGCAGGGGAAAGCCCAGTTGCCTGATGCTGGGCAGTTACTCCTGCCCTCTAGAAGAACCATAACATGTTTCAAGATATTCAAGAAATCTAAGTGGGAGATTCACAGGCTGTTGGAACAGTAGCTGGAGACCAGACAAAATACTCTAGGGTGTCTAAAATGACAGATCTCTTTGTTTAGGTCACTGAATCTTGTTCACTGTGTTCTTCCAAAAAGATTTAGATGACAGGCCTAGGCTTGCTTAGACAAGGCCTAGCTACCCCCTCCCATTACTCCTCAGGCCGCTTAGCCACAAAGGAGCAAATTCTTTGCCTGGCTGAGGCACAGCAAGGGGCTTGTTTTCTAGCCATGCCTTCTCAACAAAGAGAGTGGCTGAGGGCTTATGCAATAAGAAAAACATGAACATGGAATTGAAGAAAAGATAAAAATTAAGAAAAATTGAAATAATTTAAAATCTCAAAACTCTTTAGGCTTTGGAAGGTGCTCTTTCAGATGAGGTAAAGCAAAGCATTAATTTAGTAAATGAGGAAGAAGAAGCAGGTCTCTCCTGTCCCTTGCTGGTCCCAGCAGCTTCCTTGACAAGACTTCTGCTTGGCCATGGCCATTGGTAGCATGGTGCAAAGTCATTAATTGATGTTAGCACTACTGTGAAACACCACCTTCCATTCTGCATGGGGAGCTCTGTGCATTGCAGTAGACCAGCACTGCTGATACTGATCAGAGAAATTGAGAAGAGCAGTGGCATAGTCACTTTAGCCTTCTCCCATGAATATGGCTCAAGTAACTTAACTTTTTCCCTCCTACGCAGACTTTGCATCACCAGGAACTGCACTTCCCTTGCATACCTGCAGCCTCTTTTTGTGGGCAACCTCCCAGCAGGACCATTAAATGATTGGGCCCAAAACCATAATCTAAGAAACAACATTTGTTGTATTTCTGATAAACAGTCTGATAAAAGAAATCTCAGGAAAATAGCAAGTGCTGCCAGGGACCCGACTGATCCAAAAGCTTGAGTGTGACTAGTCTAGCTCCGGTGTTCCTCAATACAAAATCATTTTGGAATAATGTTTAGGATCTGGATATGTTTGCAGACCTTCGCAGGCCTTACACACTGATCTTCACCCTGTGATGTGACAGGTGAATTATGCACTGAGTGCTGGAATGGTTGTGGCTATATTTGTTGGATTCGACAAGAAAGCATACACTTCTCCAACTAATCTCCCTGTGCTTGTCGCCTTGCTGCTTCTGTATGGGTGAGTGTTCAAGGGTGTTCCTGCACGTGGGGCCCTATATTTCACATGGAAATTATTTCATGTTGTTGAGCTCGGTTCTTAATGAAATCCAGCATTCAAGTATAAAACTGTGTGGGTACAATACAGGTTAGAACTGGATTCTGTCCTTCCTCCAGGATATTTACATACTCTATCCAGCCACGTGCTGTAAAGGAGATTAATTTTTTGTCACTGCCTTACATTTTTAAGCATTAAATGTGATCCTTACAGGAAAATACATTTGTTCAGTTTGCTACTTTCTGATATGTACATTGTGTAGGAATTCAGTTATTGTTCATTTGCCCCAATCACAGCCAATACTAAAATAACTTTCAGCATTTAACCCAAGGGCAAAGACTACCAAGTCTTCAATACTTTTTTTTAAACTCCAAATGACTACTTATGTTGGCAAAATGGAACTTTATAAGGCTAACTGAAAATTGCTTTCTCTCATTTAATTAGTGATCATATAATCTTTAAAATAATATTCCTGATAGCCCTGCAGCTCATGTAGTCTAGGCAAAACGATTGACCAGATCTGTTCCTTGAGTTAAAGAAAGAAAGCAAGCTTTTCACATCCTCCTATGTATATCACATATTAAGTCCAAGAGGAACGGTTCTGGGCAGACTACCTTTAGTTTTCTGAAGTTTTCATGTTATTTAATCTCTGTAAAATACCCAATGTTGAAAAATGCTATCAGAAGGCTGATTTGTTTAAATTTTTCATTATATCTTTTGAAAGTGGAGTAGTGGTATCTTTAATAAGTTGTCTGTGTCTCTATGTGTTTTCTTATAATACAGTAATTTGTGGCTGTGTGGATGGGCATTTATGTCTTTGCATATTTTAAAGCATCTACCAAGATGAAATTTTCAGGAAAAAATAAAATCACATGGCAGTCACTTCAATGATAATTTTCATAATTTTGCTACTCCAAATAAAATCAGAAAGGAAGGTAAATTTATAGACTCGTATATTAGCCCTTGCGTCCAGCTGCAGTGACAATGGGAAACTGAGGATGATTCTTTCTGACCACTTGTGTATTGTCCTGTTAAGCAGTTCAGGTTGCTGTTACTGAATTCCTCCTCCTCAGACTGATAGTTGCTAGGCATTGTAAGTTTATTCCAGATGAATGCTCTTATGCTGCTGCATGTGCATTTGTTGTGTCCCAGAAATCACAGCATGGGAAGCTCCAAATCAGGAGTAAAAATACAACGGTAGAGAAGTTAGAAAATAATATTAAAATCTACAGAGTTTCTGCTTTATCTAACAGTTACTTGTTTCTCCCTCCTGGTGTACAATCCAGTGAGAAGTGCAGGGATACCTGGGGTGATGATAACCTTGCTAGCATTCAGTTTTCTCAATTTTAGCAGTTTCTACTGCCCTGCATTTTAATAGCAAAAAAAAGACTAAGCAGAAAAAACTTTTCATCTACTAACCAGGGAAAGAATACTGTAGTAGCATCTCTGGGTGGTTACACCATTTCATTACACTTAGGATGAGCAGAAGGTTCAGCTTTGTGTTTTCATTAGACCAGCCAACATGAGAATACGGAGAAGCTGTTACCATAGTCGTCTTATCTTTTGCATGCAGATGGGCAGTAATTCCCATGATGTACCCTGCTGCTTCTTTCTTCAGCATTCCTAGCACTGCTTATGTGGCATTGTCTTGTATTAATCTCTTTGTGGGGATCAACAGCAGTGCTATTACCTTCATCTTGGAGTTATTTGAAAATAACCCGGTAAGTAATGTATTTTCTTGACACCTGGTTTTAAAGAGCTGTGCAAAGGGTGTCCAGCCATAACCATCTCTAACAGTAAATATCTTTCTCTACCTTGGCAGTAAATGAGTGGGGAACTTGCTGAGTAACTGCAGGGACCTGTGAGCAGAATAACCCAGAGAAATGTCTCACGGCAATTGATATATAGGGCTACACACACAAGGAATGACATTGAGTGTTTTCCATTCCTATGAGTAAACTTCTGTACGCTTTCACACTTGGGGAGGAGGGGACATGGCACTTGGTGCGTGCTTCTGCAGCTTGGGTTGTACAGGAAGAGGTAGATGGTAGAAAATCACAGAGTCACCACTAAGTAAAGAAACACACTCCTGCTAGTCATTGTGTTAGAGGAGAAGTTCTGCTTACAGCAGCATTCTGAGGATTTAACACCACCGGAAAAGTAACAGAAAAGTACAAGAATAGACAGATTACGGTGAATGCCAAAATGAGTTCTTAGAAAGGCTAAGAGATCAGTTTGTAAAACACTGTTGGCTTGTATGCACTACTACTCCCACCTGTACAGCTGCTGATACTCTGGCC